AAGCTCGCAGAGACAGTTACGTGGACAAGCACTACCACAAGGGCAGAGACATCGCCCGACGAAGCGGCTGCGACGATGAGGCTTGCAAAGAATATGCTAGATCAGCTCGTGCAGCAGCAGCAAAGCTGTGGGACAAGTGATGCTACCCTGCAGGGCCGAAGGCTCGTGCAATTTGGCCATCGAAGCATGAGACTCCTGGGGAGCCTCCGGGCTATAGCAGGTTCCATGGGACATGGATGCATGTCTTTAGATGGCGCTTGCTGGGTGTTGAGGATGGTCTCGCTCAAGTGTTTAAGAGAGCTATCCGAATCATTGGCCGTGAAGCCAGTGCTGGGGGAAGCAGAAAACGAAGGGATTGCGCCATGCTGACCATGCAAGCTGTATGCAAACATTTAAGCTTCAACTTTGCGACTTTAGGGTTTCAAGCTTTGGCATATGGGTTATTTTCTTGTTTTCTTGGTTTAACCATTAATGGCTAAACCAAGAACCTGAAACCTACAATCTAAAAGGTAGTTTCATGTTTTCGGCTGTGTCAGGCTTCAGCTTTTCAAGCTGAAGCATTATCATGGTTTAGGGGTTTTAAGGCTGCAGCTTTTCACACTGCATGGAACATTATCAGCCAGTCTCGACTACTATGCAAATTTCGTGCATGGTTCGAGGCTTTAGGCTTCACAGCACTCGTATAGCCCACTGCCTGTCAGACTCGGACAACCCAGTATGGCTTTAGGATTTGTTCTTCAAACCTTCGCTTTGCAAAGCTTTTTCGCATGCTATCTTTTTTTGCCATGGGAGGCCTGCACTATGCAGGGAATGAATATAGACCGTATAGGAAATATGTGCATTTATTTCTTTTTTGAAGTATTGTGATGAGCCATGCACGAAACTCGCTAAATCAGGGTATCTTTTTGAGTGGTGTCAGCGGCCATGGACAGAGGAGCTAAGCTGCAGAAGCTGGAAGCTTTCAAACGAAGGCTACCGCCTATGTCGGCTGCAGCCATGTCTGCTCTTTTGCAAGCGGTGGAATCGTCTGGCCTACCGGAAATGCATGGAAGAAAACATGTCAAGGAGGCGACAGAGAATGCACTCGAACAGCATTCTGCTTATGGTCCATTGCTTCAGAGCATGGCAGTGCAGGACAAGGATGGTGCTGAACAGACTCTCATATTCGTCAATTTTTTTTCGTTGCTACAAGCCCTGTGGCTCGCCTCTGCTGAGTGGAGACGATTGCTCCATGGCAGTAGCACTCGTGCTCCTTGCAGGCTAATCTTTTACTCCGACGAAATCAATTGTGGAAACCCGTTGGCGCCTGAAGCATCCCGGAAAGTCTGGGCAATCTATGTATCATTTTTTGAGCTAGGCCCCATCAACCTGAGTAAAGAAGCCTCATGGCTGCCGCTGTGCTTGGTCAGAACCACTGTGGTGTCCAATTTGCCTGGTGGTATGAGCCAAGTGGCTGGCATGCTGCTGAAATCTATCTTCGTCTCTGGCAATGCGAGCCCTGAAGCAGGAGTGCTGTTGAAGCGGCCTGATGGTGGAAGAGCCGAAAGGCTGTTTTTCAGGCTCGCTGCATTCCTACAGGATGGAGCAGCACACAAGCTGCTTTTCTCGATAAAGGGGGACGCAGGTACTCGGTGTTGCTTGCTTTGCCGAAACATTCTGGCGAACAATAGCATTGAGCTAGCAGAAGCTCGATTGCTGAATCAGTGCTTCAAAGAGGCTGATCTGCAACTGAACAGCGACGAGGATTTCAGCCGAAGCATCATGAAGCTGTTGGAGAAACATGAAGAGCTGACGAAGACCGACTTTGCTTTGTGGCAGCAGGCCGTGGGCATCGTTTATCAGCCTGAGAGCTTGATCTTTGACCCGGAACTCTGCACTGTCGCCAAGCCTGTCAGCCAATGGCTTCACGACTGGATGCATGCCTTTTTCGTCAAAGGCATTTGGATGCTTGGTTTTGCATGTAACAATATATACGAAATACCAGTTCTTTTCCTTTCCTGCACTGCACTTGTTGGCATGATCATTTTCTTCCTGCCTGCCCAGCCCCGACTCTTGGCAGGAACACTTGCATGCAGCTCACTATGAAAGCTGCTGAGAAAGGCCTTGGCCAGGACTTCTGCAAGATCTGTGCTGATTATGTGGAGCAGTGGATTTTGCCTCGTTCGAAATCGCAGAATCTGGCTAAATTGTTTACTGCGAAGAGGAAGGAAGCCAACAAAAGCGCTGAGACCTTCAAGTGCACAGCTTCCGAAGCCCTGGCATTGTATCCCATCTTCACGTGCCTTTTGGTAAATGTCTTGCAACCCTTGGGAATCTGCTCCATGGAAATCGCTGTATGCATACACCTCAGAGATGTGCTCGAGCTGCTTCAAGCTGTGCCCCATGGGGTGACGACACCTCAAAGATTGAGAACAGCTGTCGAGGGCTTCTTGTGCAGTGCTCGAGATGCAGGGTGGCAAGATGATTTCCACCCTAAGTTTCATTGGATACTCCACTTACCTCGGCATTTAGCCAAATTCGGCTGTTTACCTTCTTGCTGGGTTCAAGAACGAAAGCACAGACACATCAAGAGACACGGTGCTCTCATGCACAACACGAGTCACTTTGACAAGTCCTTGCTAGTGGAGGCACTGGGCCAGACTTTGGCGGACTACCAGGACGAGCACCTCTTCGACACAGCCGCAAGGCTGCACCAGAAATGCAAGCCGTCCAAGCAGCTGAAAGGCTTCCTTCGCGAAGTCTTGCCACTCGACGAGGAGGTCTACACATGTGCAGCAGCTCACTTGGCTCCAGCCGGCCACTGTCACAAGGGAGATGTTGTGATCATGAGAAGCTGTGAGCTTGCAGAGGTCTATTTCCATGCCGAGGTTGGAGGCAAGATGTTTTCGTTGGTCAACGTGCTCGAGATGCAGCAGCATGACTGGAAGCATGGTACATGCATCTGTCAGAAGCAGGAAGCTGCGAGCTTGGTAGAGACCGAAAACATCATGGCTGCTGTCGCTTATAGCAGAAATGCTGACGGCAGCCTTCGGGCTTGGATCCCGAAGGAATGCAGACCCTGATCGCGAGAGCTGCCGCTTACAGCAAAAATGCTGACGGCAGCCTTCGGGCTTGGATCCCGAAGCGGACCCTGATCGCGAGAGCTGCCGCCGCATTTCGGAAAAAATGCGTGCTATGACTATACATGCTTCTACACAATTAGCACGATGCCGTGCCACATGTTCAAACCTTGTAAGAGCCCATGGGCTTTTGTATACTTTCCTATACTGCAACTCAAGTATGAGCTTCCTGATTTGTCTGCCCATGTTTCTTCTAAAAGGCTAATCTTATGATCAACTTTCGATGTTTCTGTTTGATACGAAGGACTATTTATGCTTACTAACTAGTTAGCTAACTTCTTAGCTAAGTACTTAGCGACACAGCTAACTAGTTAGCTAATCGGCTAGCTAAATACTTGCTTAACCACTTAGCTAACCATTTCTCAAGTGTTAGTAATCTCTAGTATATGAACATAAGCTTTAATAAACACTATAACCGCGAGCGATCTTTAAAGTTCTTCGTCGGCTACCACCTCGGCCGCGTCCGTGGGCGAGAAGACCGTGCCGGTGGTCGCCAAGCCGGTGAAGAAGCCGCCTCCGCCTGAGCTGGCCGGGCAGGCTATCGCCCCCATCGTCAAGCCCTTCGTCAAGGCGCCACCCCCCCCTCTGGTGGTGGAGCCGGCCACGGGGGCGGGAGCCCAAGGGGCAGGCACACGCCAGTCGTCGGGCATGTTTGGTTCGGCGGCGCCTTCGTCAAGGCCTCCGCCAGTGAAGAAGGCGCCGGCCCCGCCGCCGGCCGCTGCACCGGCCGCTGAGGAGCCTACGCCCTACGAGCGGCAGCGCCGGGCGATATCTCAGGAGAACGCCCTCCGGGCGCTTGCTGGTATGGGGCCGCTGAGCTTCGACGTCACGTATGACGAGATGCTCCAGCTCCGCATCCAGCGCGAGATGCGGGAGATGACGTCGCCGCCGCCCCCGGCCAAGCCGGCTGGGCATACGGAACCGGAGGTGATCGTCCCGCAGAGTGGGGCGGATCCTGAGCGCGACCATCCGCCCAGCGCCTCAGCGGGCATCCCGCCGCAGGCCGCCTCATCTTCGACTACGCCGCCGACCTCGCCCTCGCCCTTTCCGCCTCCGGTGGCATCCTCGTCTGGAGTGTCCTCCGCCTGTGCGGGCGTGCCGCCCAGTGGCCGGGGCGGCTACGGGACCAAAAATCGGTCCCTGCATCGCCAGCCTGGCTCGTCAATGACTGCCAGGGAGCGGTGGGAGCGCTATCGGCAGGCCAAGCATCGCCCTGGGGCGGACTTCTTCGACTCCGAGATGCCCCTCGGCCTCGACGGGGCGGCTGCTGATACATGGGATCGGGCGGAGTCCCTGGAGCGCAGCGTCGCCGACGGCAGCTATGTGCTCCCGCCCAATTCGACAGTGGCGGGCATCTTCATCCGGAGCCTGCCGCCGAACGTCCAGGGCGGCAAGCTGCCTCGCGAGCCGCCGTCCGATGGCACCTACTTTATAGGGTGGTGCTTCGCCAAATGCCCTGGCCCATGGTGGCGGCCGGCATCGGCCTGTCGGTGCCCCTACGCCGGGCGCTGCCTCCGCCCTATTAGCTACCCGCCGGTGACGGGGCGGCCTCATTCGCACCATCAGTGCGCCAGGTGCGCCCCGGACTCTCCGGGCGAGCGGGACCGCTGAATTCGTCACGGCGGGGCTCTCTTTTCTTCGGGCGCGGCTACTTCGACATCGCCGGCACCTACATCTTTGCCGCCGCGGCCGTCTCACTCTTGGGGGGCGTCCGCCCGTTTTGCATCTCACCGCCTTCGCGGGCGCGGTCAAAAGTCTCGGCCTGTGCTTTTGTGCTCTCCCCTCCCCCTCCCTTCCCTTAAGCTTGGCTCGACTGCTCAAGCCCCTCGCAGGGCCTGGCTCGAGGTTACTTTGGCTCAGTTGCCTAAGGTGAGAGTCGACATGGCGGAACCGCCTCGGGGCTCGTTCGCCGAGCTGGTCGCCCTGGCGCAACGGGCGGGCCACATCGACGCCTTGGCAGCCGCGGGCGTCCTGCTGGCCGCCCCGCCGCCGCCAGCCGTGGTCACCGACTTGGCCCTGGTGTCGTCGGCCCAGGATCCGGGAAGGCCGGACGTCCCTCGCCGGAGAGTGCCCTTGCGGGCGAACCTTCGGGCGGCCCTGGATGCCCTGCTGCCGGCGAACCGCAAGCGGTCCGTCGAGGAGCTTCGCGACGGCTACCTGGCAGAAACCTCGAAAGGGCCCTACGCGTCCCGGCTCAAAACGTGGATGGCCCTGTCCTACCAGGGCAAGGTCGATCCTTGGCCGGTGTCCGCCGACACCATTGAGGCCCTGGGGGCGGCCTTCAAGAAGGGGGGCTACCGCAGTGCCAAGGAGTACTTCTTGGCCGCCTTCCGCCACCAGGAGCACGACCTTGGGCTGGAGGTCTCGCCCGTCCTACGCCGCTTGGCCAAGAGGGCGGTGAAGTCCATCGTGCGCGGCCTCCCTGGGACTCGTCTCAAGGAGGCCTTCCCCCTCGCCGACCTGGGCGCCCTCGTGACCTATCGGTGCGACCTCGCCTTCGACCCGGCCGCCGTCCCCCACGCCACCGACGTCCTGGTCTTGGCCACGTGGTTTATGCTCCGGGAGATCGAAATCGCCGGGGCACTCGTCGGCGATGTGGTGCTCACCAAGCACGTGGTGACGCTGGAGCT